AAATAGCTCATTTGCAGGAGAAACTCTTCCAGCTTGGATGCTATAATTCTGTATATTCCTAAAGAAAGATGATCTTCATTTATAAGTTCTAAGAAAAGAACCATGCTTTGTGCTTCATAATGCAGACTCTTGCTTTTCAGATGTTCAGAGCAGATAAGCATTGTATCTCAAAAGATGGAGACGTGTTTCTAATCTAAAAGCTAGACATTAATGTGAGAAGACAGTCAAGGAGAATGTGGCCTGAGGTTGCAGATTCAATTCAGGACCATGAATAGGAGCTCAAGAACAGGAGTCATGTAGCACAATCAAGGTATAATTGTCAGAACTGCAAAACCAGCAAGTTTATTCTGAATCTCAAATGGTGCTTGAAGGGGTAGCTATTCAGCCTTTGTCACTTTCAGCCATGTTTGTTCACAAGACAACATCAGTCAACGTCAGGTCTTTACTGATTCAAGAAATCTCTAGCTGTGTCTTACCTGAGTGACACTGAGGAATTTCTCAGTTTATGGTCTTTAAGGGAAAAAAAAAATGCAGTCATGAACTTGCCTCAGGCCAGCTCTGTTGTTTTTTTGTGTTCTCCATGTCTACTGATGTGACAGCCTCATACCATGAAACTTTCTCAAACACCATGAAAAGAAGGAGGACAAGGAGGAGGAAGAGAATGAGAATACCCTAAATGAAACCAACAGAATTATAGTAGGTTAGTTGAATGAAAATTCTCGAAAGCTATTATTTGCTGTCTTCCATGAGCTTGTGCCCTTGAAATATCTTATTTATCTCAAGCAGAAATCTCAATGTATTTTGATGGCAAATGTGATATAATTAACTTTGAAAGATTGGCTTCAGATCCTGGTTCTGTTGTTGACTAATTGACTTCATTTGCACAACCCAGCAGGATCCCTAATTAATCCATTTTCTTTGTTCACAGAGTACATGGAAAGATGGATTGAGATGGATTGAGCTCACCTGACACACCATGTTGATGATATCCAGTTATATATCTGAGGGGTAGGTTGTTAGGGCATGGATGGGGAGTAATAGGTTTAGATCAAATTCCAGCAAGATGGAATAGCTGTGGGTTTGTAAACTAACTGTTTTCAGAGATAGCCCTTCTTTGATTCTGAACAAGGTAATTCTCCTTCCCTAGTTGGAGCTGGCTCAAAATCTAGGGGTTCTAGACTCACATCTCCTGTCTTAGCAGCTGGTGAAGGTTGTAGCAAGGACAACCTCTCACAATTACTTCTTGTGCACCAGTTGCAGACATTTCTGGAAATAGAAATTTTGCTCTCATTCACTCATGCCCTTGCCACTTCAGAGCTGGACTACTGCAATTTGCTTTATATGGGGCAGCCCTTGAAGACCATTTGCAAGCTTCAGTTGATGCAGCATACTGCGTAGTTATGGAAGCACCTATGTTTACTCATAGAACACCACTATTATGGGAGTTACACTAGTTGCCAATCAGCATCTGAATGCAATTCAAGATGCTGGTTATCATCTTAAGAACCCTACATGGTTTAGTGCCTGGCTATCTCTGAGATCACTTTCTCTGAGCTGAATCTGCCCATCTAAGATCTGTTAGAGAGAGCAGTTGAAAGTGCTAAATCTGAAGGAATGCTGTCTGAAAGGATCCCTTTCTTGAGTCTTCTCAGCCCTCCTGCTTCAGGAACACCTACTCCCAGATATTTGAACCACTCCTTCCCTATTATATTTTCAAAGAACTTGGAACTTCACAGAGGCATTTGGAAATGTCTGAAGATTTTGCTGCAGTGATATAACAGAGCCTACAAAATTTTCTTATCAAGGATGAAACCAACCAAGCTTAACATATTATGCAAATACAACCCTAAGCCTTTAATTGACTTGGCTAAATGTGTTGGGAGTATTTAACTACTGTGTAGTCTTAAAGGCAAGATGCTGTTTTTGAGCTTGGATCAGATCCACCATCTGCAAAATGGGAATGACAGCAACTCAAAGAATATAAAAACATAATTAATTAATTAATAATTAATACTCTCTTGGATAAATTCAACATCCTGTTCCTGCATTGACCAATGGGATAGCAATAGTAAATCTGGAAGCAGGATGTGAGTACAGAAAATAGTGTCAGAAAAATGTAATTTCTGATATTTAACTGATAACCTTATTCTGCCAAAAATTTGACTAATCCCATTTAAAGCCATCCAAATTACCTCTAAATCATATGGCAGTGAGTTCCACAGGTCAATCATGAACGCTGCAAATGCATTTCTATCAATAAACTTCTTCCACTTGGCTTCATAAAGTAATCAATCCATAATTCAAGGTGGTCTTATAAAAAGGTGGTATAAATTTGTTGACACAGTGCAAAACTGATCTTTTCTCATCTTTTCTCATTTTTTAATAGAATTTGGGAATGCTGTAGACATGGCTTGCTTTTAGCAAAGCATTTCAAAAAATACCTATAACATTCTGATTAGCAAACTACTTAAATGAAGGTTAAATGGCACGACAATGAAGTGGATGCATAGCTGGTTCAAAATCATACATGAAGATGGTTTGTGATAGTTTCTCATCAAACTGGAGTGAAGTGTCATGTAGGATGCTACATGGTAAAGTCTGTACATATCAACAGTTGTGTTAATGATCTGGAGAAGGAGGTAGAGGGAATACTTATCAGATTTACACATGACACAAAATTGGTGGGATAGCCAGTACCCTAGAAGACAGAAATAAAATATAAAATGATCTTGGGAGCTTACAGACATGGGTTGAAAATACCAGGATGAAATGTCAAGGGGCAATACAAAGTCCTTAGGAATGAGAAATCAGATACAAAGACATAGGCATCTGCAAGGGGGGGGCGCACGGGGAGGGAGACAAATGGCAAAACATGCATTGTGTCATCATGATGCAAACCTGTAACTTACATGTGTCCATCCAATGTAGGGATAAGAGTATAAAAGGGCAAGGTTTGCATCTTGACATCACAATGCACACTTCGTTCGTCACTGTAGTTCGGTAGCAGACACCTACATACAACTGAGTATGGGGTTACTAAATTAGGTTATTAAACTAAATGCGACAGTGGAAGAGAGGAGGAATTGGGAATGATTAGCTCTGAGATGAGAAGAGTGAGAAAGGATATAATAGCCTTCTCTAAACCTGGAGGAATGTCATACAAGACCCATTTCTCCATTTTTCTGGAGGGCAGCATATCAAATAATAGGTTTCTGGCAGGTCTTGGGGGTTGTGATGTTTTAAAGTTGTTCACTTTGGCATTACCTGTTTAATGTAGTTGACGTTTTTGGTGTATGTATGCATATATATGCTCTTGGTTTTTATTGTAATTTGATTGTTCTTTTTCTTTTTAAGATGACTTGCTTAAAAAGTATAGGAATTCTCAGTTTTCAGCAACTGGGGTAGCATATAAAATCAGCAAAAACACAAACAAAGGCATGTTAGGGTTTTCTGTACCTCATTTCTGCAATCTATTAGTTATCTAGATTTTTTCAGTCCAGATATGGTAGACCTGATTCTTTAATTCCAATTTCAGTATATTATAAAGTAGGAAAAAAAATCCCTACCTACTTTCTCCACCTATACATAATCTTATACACACTTAATCCGGATTCCTGAATTCACCCAGTTTCTGGGTTTGCAAAACTCACTGAACCATACCTTAATCAAATGGCCCAGATCCAAAAATACATTACACATATATGATTAACACTAACCAAGCTTAGCGTGTTGCAGAAATGAATCTGCTACCTCTTTACTTGAAGTGGTGAAACATGCAATGGGCTTTAGATACTTCAAGTGCTATATAAGATTAAAACAGCTGAGGCTTCATGAGGTTTCAGTAGCAATCACTCATAAGCACCTATACAACCACACATAGGTAGGCTGTGTTCGCACAAGTTACTGATCCAGGTCCTGAAAAGAGACATTTGCACAATGTACAATATTCAGAATATATTAATGGTTAAGCATGGTTAGTGTTAATTCTTTTCAGTTCTTTATGGCTAAGCATATCATGCAAACCTGAGCTATTAGGTTAGTTTATAACTCATTTTATTATCTGAACACTGGCCCCAGTTTCATTCAGGAGCTGATATTAAGCATTGACAGTACTGAATGTGATTACAGGATCTTATTTCCTCTAATGAGTCTCTTCCCTGCTTGGGCCTATTGAGCAATTCATGAATCTTATCCCAAAGCAAACAGACCAGTCCCACTGGTTGATCTGCTCCTCTTGCCTGTGTGAAGTTCATTGGGAGATGTTTGAAAGACGGAAATAAGGGAGCAGATGGGGAGAGAGGAGCAGTAGCTGGTTCTGAAGCGGGGTGGGAAGCCGATGACTGTTCATCCTGTGCTCAAGAGGCCAGAGATCACAGCCTACTCCAGCAATGATTTTTTCCCTTCGGCTGAGAAGCAACTTGGCTCCACCCTTTGAGGCAACTCTTCATTTTGGCCCGGAGGCCAGTCAGTCACTTCCGACGCTGAGCGGAGCAGCTGCTGCAAATCTTAGAGTTGACCCCCACCTCCCACCCCCACCCCTCCGCATCCCGTCCTCCTCTCCCGCCCGTTCCCTCTCTCTTCCCCTGTCAGGAGGAGGAGGAGGAGGGAGAGAGGAGAGGCTGAGTTTCAGAAAAAGGACCCACAGTCTCATGGGGAGAAAGAATCGGAAAGCAACGGAAGGAAAGACCACCTGAATGTTTTAAAATTTTCACTGAGAACTTGAGAAATAAGCCAGCCGCTTAGGACCGACGCTGCTTTCGCCGATCTGCTGAGACTTGGAAAGGGAGAACTGGCTGAGGGCGCAATGCCGAAGCGGCTCTCTCTGAATCCATCCGTCCGTGAGAGGCACGTCCCGCCAGGTACAGCCGCTCAGAGTCCATTGGAGTTGGGCGGCTATCATACATTTAAATAATAAATAACTAACAGCGTCCCGTTCCCAGCTGGCAATGGCGCCGCGACTTCGCCCTGGCGCTTGAGCCGCGGAGGTCCATGGTGCTGAAATGGACAGCTCCCCGGGCGCCCGGGCGCTGAACGGTTCGGGGAGCCCCGAGAAAGCGTTGGGAGATGAGCTCTCGGGCCCGTTCTCGACCGCCTGGACCATCGCCTTGGCGGCGCTGATGGCTCTGCTGATCGTGGCCACGGTGGTTGGCAACGCACTAGTGATGCTGGCCTTTGTGGTGGACTCCAGCTTGAGGACACAGAACAATTATTTCCTCCTGAACTTGGCCATCTCCGATTTCCTAGTAGGTAATGTACCTCACCTGGCGTCACCTCTCTTCATCCAGAGATCATGCTTAGCCACACGGCTAAAGGATTTTGGACTCGGGTTTAGCGGGTTGGGTGCCCTTCAGCTTTAAGCACACAACTAAGGTGTAAGATACATCATCTGTTCCACCACCATTCTGAGCTTTGTAATAGGCTCTTCAACTCCGCTGTGTTACCAAGTTGTTTGTCATGCCTGCCCTGATCCACCTGCTGACTATCTGATATATTCTGATATCTCTGGAGTTGGCTCCAAAATCCACCCATATCTGCACCACTGTGCATGTTGCTATGCTCTTGTCTAAGCATGTTTTGGGGAAAGGGTTTCAGGAACGCTTGCCAGCAGGCTGTCAGTCATAAGGCATTTAACTATGTTCTGCAAATGATTTCTCAGAGAGATTCAACAGGAACAGGAATGGGAAGAAACCTTTCAATTTCTCTCCTTGTGCACTGTAAATATTGATTATTTGTTAGATTTACAGCCCTTCCTTCTCCCTGGAGCTCAAGGCAGTTTACATAGTACTCTCTCCTCCAATTTTTCCCCTTGAGAGGAAGAATGGGCTGAACTGGCCCAAAGTTATCTGGGTGGACTTGATCTTTGTAATCCAGTGATCAGTCACCATGCCCTATCTTAAAATGGCTAGAGGCAGCAGTCTTATTAATCTATTGCAGCAAAAGCAAGTCCTTTAAAAATAAACTGGCAGTTTGGAGACTTTATAGCATCTTTAAAAAGTACAGATTTGTGAAGTTGAAAACTTTGGGTTATAGTCTGTGAAGATTTATATAATCGTATGCTTAAATTTGCTTTTACTTTTTAGAGAAATAAACATGGCTGCTCATACATTTTAGAGCTAGAAAAATCCCTTTGGCCATGGCAAAATATTTTTAAAGCATTATTAATTATATTGGAGACTTCCCAGACTGGGGTTAAATTAGAAGATCTCCAAAGGTTCTTTCCAACCCTGTGATTCTAACACAATCAAACCCCAAAATCACACACACACACCCAAACCTGGGCAGGAATTAAACTTAAAACTGATGGAATGTAACTGTTCATTTTCCTTTACTACTGGAGCAGTGCTATCTAAAATTGCTACTTTTTAATCACTTCACAGACGGGTTCAGCTTAATCATTTGGACTTAAAGCAATGGCCACATTGCTTTGGGCACAAAATCCCAAACAGATTGACTTAAAAGACTTATTTTATACTGAAAGAACTCATTTTCAAACTACAGTAGACCTGCTTAAATCCAGAATTTTTAATTCTATTACGTTGCAGGTGGCACTTCCTAGCATACAAAATATGTTTGCATCTATAAAGACAAGTTTGATTTATATATGGACAAATAATTGAGGTGGGACAAAGCTAAAGCCAGAGACCAGATGTATGAATTGGACATGGAAAAAGCAAGGGGAAAGTTGAACCCTTATCACAAATTATGCTTTTTCTGACTCCAACCTGACTCTATCTTAAGTTTCATTAAGGGGAAGCAAGACTTAACCTCCTTCCTTTTTTTCATGATATCCACCTCCCAGCTCTGGAGGGTTGGAAGTATGCTCTTATTTCACATCCTTTGCTGTATTTTATAGAATTATAGAACATAAGGGTTGGAAATGACATTAGAGATGATCTAACTTCCTACCCATTACAGAAATCCAATACTACAGCATTCCTAATGTTTAAACTCCCCCAGCAAAGAAGAGTCCACTAGCTCCTGAGAAAGTTTGTTCCATTGTTAAACAGTTTTTATTTTAGGGGGGTTTTTTTCTTGATGTCCAACCAAAATCTATTTTCTTGTAATATAACTTCTATCTCCTAGAACAACTCTAAACAATTCTGCCCCATTTTCTACATGATAGCCATTCAAATACTTGAAGACAGCTATTATGTCTCCTTCACAGTCTTCTGTTCTCCAGATAAATATATCCAGCACCTTAAATCATTCTTCATAAATTCACCTCTCCGGGCTTCTTATCAATTGGTTGCTTCCTTCTGGACATGCTTCCCAATGTCTTTCCTAAAATATGGTGCCCAGAACTGGACTCAATGTGCTAGGTGTGGTCTGACCAATGAAAAATAAAGAGGAAGTTGACTTATCCTGATCTTGACATATTTCTGTCAATGTAGTGAAGGACTACATTTGCTTTCCTGCATTTGAATCACACTGTTAGCTCATTTTCAGTTCATGATCCACAAAGATATTCAAATCCTTTTTACAAGTAGGGTCTTGTAAAAGTAGGGTCTCCCCACTGCTGCCGCCATCCTATACTCATTACACTGAGTTTTCCTACCCATTGTAGAACTTTGCATTTGTCTTTGTTGACATTCATCTTGATTTCTGCTTATTATTGCAATTTGTCAAGAGCCTCCTGAGTCTTGACACTGTCCTCTAAGATGTCACCTATCTCCCTTATATTGTCTCATCTATAGATTTAATAACCACATTTTCTAATCCTTCATCCAAGTAATTGATCAATATGGTGAAAAGCATGGGGTTGGGGTTAGTTGTATTCACACAACATGCTCAGCCATATCTGTTAAACAGTAATGCTGTGTTTCACCCATGCGTTAAACTTGGTTAACATTTCTTAGCATTTGTGTGTGGGCTTAAGATGCTGCCTGATCTGTTCTGCTTAATTCATTTGTGGTTCAATGGTTTGAGCATGCCATATGAATGCAGCTACAGGATGGGAGGCTTTTAAGCCAGTGGGATCAATCCCAACATTTATCAAGATCCATGAGGATACACCATCCTCAGTGCTTGCCAGGCTTGGAGGGGAAACTGCTTCATTCCTGGTATGTTTTCAAGCTATATAGAGTCACTTACTTTACAGATAATGATTATCCCTAATTTATTCTTAGGAAATACTGCTGCATATTGTTTCCCTTGATGGTCATTGCTGACTATCTCTCACAGTGAAATCACTCAGTTAGATCTGCATTCATTGGCTATACAGGGGAATGATAAAGTAGCTAACAGTTAATGAACATTTTGGCTACTAATTGGATTTCTTATACTATGGATTTCTTATGCTATGGATGATGCATCATGCAAGTCACTCCTGGGGTGACTTCCTGTCCTTCTAGAGACAGATGTATTACATTCTTCATTCTTTGTCTGCCATAATAATAATAAAAAAAGTCCCTTCTATTGATTAAAGGTAACACCCATATTCACTGTTGTTTTACCCAAACATGTCTTCTACTTCATGAAGGCTGAAGAGCTCAAGAGAACTTCCTGTGCTATGAAGCAGAGATCCATTTGGCTGGCATCAGTTTTCTGGTGTAAAACCTCTGAAAACAGAATGTCAGTTGTAACAGTCTCAGGGTGGAAGCAGAGAGGAGGATTAAGCAAAATAGATGTCACTACAGATTTCTCCTTTAATGCCAGACTGGAACAGTGTTGTGCAGGAATAGATTATATGATTACCAAAAGGATGCAAAGCTGGGTGGGGAGTGGGAGGATGGCCAAGTTATTTAGAAGCATAAGGGGGCCTCCAAGATTATCTCTCAGAAATAATAAGCCTTACAAAATAATATTTTAATCACACTGAGATTAGCAATATTAATGCAAGAACTATGTTACTCTAGCAGTATTCTCATTTTTATCTTGGGCTAATGTAATTCTGTGAGAGGTTGATTCCAGAAACTTGGATGATTTGATTCTTTTCAGCCTGACATGTAGATTTTGTTATCAACTACTCTCTTGTATGATTCCTGCATATATAAAAGAACATTATCTGTGAAAGAGCTGTTAGATGTATGTTGAAAAGGTAAATAATTGGTTTTTGCTGCAATGCTGGGCACAGGTAGGCTGCATGTATCTCATTAGAAATTAAGGAATCAAGATGCCGTAACATGTTCTTAATTTGACATCCAAAAGTTAACAAAATAAGGGCCACTGCTAAGAAAGTATCCTTGAGGATTGTTCAGAACATTCATTTTCACTACTGCAAATGCTGAATTTATAGTCTTCCCTGTTTTCCCTTTCCCAGCTGGTGGCATCCAGATGTGTTTGTCAGTTCCCATTAACACACAGCCATCTGGAAATTATTTGTGAGTTTATTAAGTTTTTATTCCACCTTTCATTCACAAACTCAAGGTAATCTACATAGCATTCCCTTATCCATTCCCCACCCCACCCCGGCTCCCTGAAAAACAACCTTGTGGAGTTGATTGAACTAAGAGAGAGTGACTGGCCCAGAGGATGGCTAATATTGAACTATAAGTTGAGTCTTCTTGCTGCTAGTCAAACACCTTCCCTCCTGCACCCCATTGGCTCTTAGGCTGAGAGGGAGGGACTGGCCTAGAATCATCTAGGGAGCTTTAACTCATAGGCTTCCACTGTTCAGCATCTGCAACTTCATATACACAACTCAACCCATCCTTCTGGTCTTTCCACACTCTCGTGAGCTGCTTCAGGCTTTTCTTCCCAGTCTTCCACCAGGCCCCAGAGCTAGAATCTCCAGATTTGTTACACTCCATGTTAACTGGGTGACATTGTCTCCAGCAGCAAGTCCTGAAGCATTTGAAATTTAACCTACCCACCCTTTCTGCTTTTCCTTTCTTTTTATACATTCTGTAGTGAAGGCATTTACATGGCACTTTCCAGGTGCCTTCTAGCATTTTCCTCTTCTCTGCCTACATGCTCTTGATCTTATGCTGAGTCATCTGCCTTTCCTAAAAAAATCCATGACCTTGACACAGACTCAGCCACTTTTCTTCGGCCACACACCTGCTTCCTTAAGTGAAGGCCAGAGCTAGGCTTCCTCAAGATGGTTTAGTTTCTCAGGGCTCTGCACATGTAATGCTTTCATTATCTTTTCCATATCTAGATAGGAAGATTGTAACCTGGTGGTTTTGCCCTGATTGGTGTTACACCTTAAAACTACATAGTTGTAAAGATACCACCTTGTTAATCTTCTACTGAAATCTTCCGTTTTCTTCACCAAACAAGAGGTATATGTTGTGTTCAACAACCAT